TTTTACTTTGTATTTATGTTTTTGAAGTTATATTTTTACCTTTTGTTTAAGAAATATTGTCTAAAAGCAAAGTGGTATGTCGGTATCGATGACCATCTTCTTTCAAATGAAAAATTAAAAACCAGATGCTACAGTCTTAACTAATCAAGGTAAATTCTATTAAATTAAAAAGTAAAACCCAAATGGTAGTAATCTTTTGTTATTTACCTAACTCTAATGATATGTATAATTCGTATAAAAGATTTGATATCAACAAAACTGGCGCCGAGTTAAATTTCACATCATTTTATGTATCATTCGTAAAAAAGATTTTATATCAACAATTGGCACGAAGTTCAATCTCATGTAATTCGGATTATTTTTCGATCCAGAAGCGCCAAGTGTTTACTTCTTTAACTTTTTGTGGTAACACTTGAATGGACAAAGTAACGCAATTATGGGTTGTATTCTTTACTTAATTTGGTATGGGATTTAAAGGCCAGTTGTTGGCGCCAGTTGTTGATGTTAAATCTTTTATACGAATATGATACATATCATTAAAGTTGATATTATTTATTTAATTTGGTATCCGAATTACATGGGATTTAACTTCGCGCCAATTGTTGATATCAAATCTTTTTTACGAATGATACATAAAATTATGTGGAATTTAAATTGACACCAGTTTTGTTGATATCAAATATTTTATATGAATTATACATATCATGAAGTAAATAACAAAAGATAGTACTACTTGCGTTTTACTTTTTAATTTAATAGAATTTACCTTGATTAGTTAAGACTGCAGCGTTTTAATTTTTCATTTGATACATTAGTTTTTTTTCAAGAAGTAATAATTTTTGACGGAGAATTAAAGTTGCTATTACATGAGTTGGAATAAAAAGACCGTTAATAAAAATATCTTTAAAGAAAAATTAAAACTACTATTAATTGGGTTGAATACTTAGGTTTTATTTGAAAAGAACATTTTCTTAACGCCTTTTTTTACCTTTTTTAAAATATATACTTACGTATACGATGCATCATAATTCTGGATAAACAACATTGGAATGTAATAGTGAAGATAATTTATCTTTTTGTGCTCTTTTATAAACGAACTTAATTTATTAAATTCTATATAGACCAAATGTACTGCTATTTTAAAAAAATCTTTTGAATTTCCCCGATATTAAAGGCACATAGGAAATAGTAAAGAATTATCAAAATGTTAGGAGTATTCTCTTTATGTATATCTCTTTCTCTCTTTCATTACTGTTAAGTTGTTTGAACTTAACGTGTAATCTTCTCTTAACGCTTTTAAAAATTAAACCTAAGGGGTATCTATTAGTAAGTTACACAGTATGTTAGTAATTAACCGAAAATTTTTTTCATAAAAAATGAGATGCGACAATAATAAAACCTCAATAAATCCAACAATTGTACCTGATTGTAATTTATAATATAATGGGTGATACAAAAACTAAGTTTAAATATTATATTGAAAAAGTGGATTTGTTATATGAATTATGTATCAGATAATCATCTTTCTTTATTAAGGTCACATCTAAAAACTTAAAATTATCGCCACTCAATTCCATGATGAACTTTAATCTGGCATCGTAATCATTAAATATACACAACAAAATATTGATATTCTGTTCTTGTATTGCAAGTGTAATGTTATCATATTGATGTTCTTATTTTATTCTTTCTATCTTTTACGAAACAATTTTTAAAAGATAACCCACAAATACCCTTGACACGTACAGATAAGAGAAATGTAGTTATTGCACTTAATAGGATTGACTACGTTAACAAAATGGAAACATTATCATGCGATACGCAATTTTAAAACGTAATCCGATAAATTAATGGACTGCTCCGTTATTAAGTTAAATTTAATTTGATTAACAGCACGGTTCTAGTCTTAAAAATTCCCGAGCTATTTTGATAGTCTAACAATTAATATTTACTAATGCATTCATTTATTTTCACAACTATTAACATATTATAACAAGTACATAACAATAGTATCAATTAAAATTAATAAAATGTTTATACGGTTACATTTTCTACATCTGTACATTAATTTTACGTTCTTGGAATAACATTAACTAATGTTAACTAATATTAACATTAACTAATATTAACTAATGATAATGCAATAATATTACAGTAAGATTAATATTGATTGAAGTAAATATGATAAATATCTAGATCAGGGGACCTCCCCCCCAATAACCTTGACCTTGACATATGTTGTTAAGGTCATAACTCTGAGTGACTTCAACAAGTTTTAGCCGTTGCTCGTTGTTCGTTAAAAAGTTATGAACAAAAAAAGTTCAACTATATAACACGAGAATTCATTGCTTTCAAATATGTTTGATAGTCGTTCACTGTACGGGATGCCGCGCCGATGACTGCGACTTTGACATATATCATCAAGGTCATGACTCTGAAAGATTTCCAACAAGTTTTAGATGGCTCTTTTATCTTTGACTCCCACCCCCACTCCCCTCCTACAAAGGGGCGGGGCGCACGACTCTCACCTTCGACTCTCAACCACCCTTCCCCTGCTTCAGGGGCGCACGACTCTCACCTTCGACTCTCACCCCACTCCCCCCTACTCCAGAGTCGCACGACTCTCACCCCTGGAAAGTTGTGCGCCCCTGAAGCAGGCGGGAGGGGGGGTGAGAGTCGAGGGTGAATGTCGTAAGGCCCTGAAACAAATTGATAAATTCTTTGATATCATGAGTGCAATATATCCATTAGATAATGTAAATATTGATCAAAATTCTTAATTCATATGTATATACTGTGTGTATTCTTTATTTTTAAATTTAAAACTTGTTGAAGGTCACTCAGGGTCATGACCTTGACAACATATGTCAAGGTCAAGGTCATTAGGAGAGGTTCCCTACAGTGCACGACTATCAAACATATTTTAAAGCAGGGAATTCTCGTGTTATATATTTAAACTTTTTTTTCATAACTTTTTAACGAAAAACGAGCGACGACTAAAACTTATTGAAGGTCACTCAGGGTCATGACCTTGACAACATATGTCAAGGTCAAGGTCATTGGAGGGGGGTCCCCTGATCTGTATATTTACCGTACATATATATACATGCAGTGCCTGTCGATATTTACAAGTAACTCTCTTTCTCATTCTCTTTCAAGCCTGTTTCCTTTTGTATAATTTGTTGTTAAATATGGTATATATACGATAATAAAACTTAATAAATATTTTTATTGTTAAGAATATACTTAACAATATTACAGTAAAATTAAAGAATAAAAATGCATAAACATCGATTAGATTTTGTTCCATCCAGCTTTGATACCTAAGTGGAGTTATTAAAGTCCCATTTGGATGGCGGACTGCATATTCAATGCCCCAAATAGCTAAATCTAACGGCGGTATTGGTCGATCTCGGAATTCACTAGATAATTGTTTCATGTTTCTTGTATATCTGCACCAAACATGTTTTACTATTAACGTAATATAATCTTACATTCGTATATCTTAACTTTTAAATTCGGTATAAGCATACCTAATTTTTTCCAACTTTTTCAATGTTTTTACATTGCTTATAATTTTTAATTAACTTTTATTCCTTTAATTTTTTTATTAATAAAAGTACTTCAAAAATATAGTAAGGTGACGTCAAATGACATCTTAGTGACATTTTTAATATCAATGGATGTGTTCAGCAGAAAAATTAATCAGAGAGCGCTCATTAATTTTTAATATTGGTTTCTACATCACACTCCGATCCAGCGAAAAACTAAAAACAAAAATCAATCATTAAAGAATCGCTGAACGCTTACTGATCTCTCTCTACTGAACACAGCCAATATAACGTTATTAAAACGTCACCTTGCTACTTCCAACGTCAACCTTAATGAGAGCAAATCACAACGCATTAATGAAAGCAAATCACAATGCATTATTTTTACTCTAAAAAAGATGACTCGGCTGCCAATCACAATCACCAAATAATTTCATACTCTAATTCTGCAAAATACGTTGGCATGACACTTGACCTAAACTTCGTTAGAAGAAGCATACAAAGAGAGGAAGCAGAATAATATGCAAAAATGCAGCGGATGATTGGTAGAAGCTTCAAATTATCAGTGAATAATAAACTATTGTTGTATAAACAAATCGGTCCTAATAAAAAACAAAGTAAATAATGATACATACATTTGCTTGAAATTGTTATGTTTCCTATTATAGGTATGTCTGACGTTTCGATGGAAAAAGAATTATTTACAATATATTTGTTTTTATAAAAGTTATAAGCAATTGAATTAGGTCGAATATGCCATAGTTAAGTATGTTGTTCCCATAATGTGGTATTAACAGATTAATTAAAAGTAAAACTGAGTATGATAAGATATATAAATAAGAAAACCAAATTTTATAATCAGTTTTTACAAGAGCGTTTAAATTAATTAAACCAATTATAGTATTATACTATCTTATATTAGTTTAAACATTACTTCGAATATTATATATTATTTGATTATGTTAATTTACTGTTTATATAATAATTATGATATTAAAACGTAATCGAAATTTGATACCTTTCATTGTAAAGTATTTCTTCCACTGCATGTAATACAGTCTGCGTGGACAGTGTTTTAACATCTAAGTATACTCCAGCATCCTTAGCTACTACTTTTTGTGCATTGCATTTTTGGTCTACAAAGAAAGGCATTACAATCATTGGTACACCTTTCCAAATGGCTTCCTGTATACTGAGAAGACCACCATGAGTCCAAATTGCTCTGATATTCTTATGAGCTGCACATAAAAATTTATTATAATGAAAATCTCAATTGTTATACTGAATCATTCATATAAACATTTTATTATTTATATTAATACAATGCATTTTTTAATCTAATTTTGTTTAAAACTAAAAATCATTTTTAGAAAAACCAGTTTTTATTTAAAAATGTTAACCTGTTATTATAAAAAGATTATAAAATGTAATTGAAATATTTAAAAACTAAGATTATCTACAGATATCAAAAAGAAACTGTTAAAAAAAACATAAAATTGTTTAAACACTATTGTAGAGATAATAAGATAAATCTAATGCAACAAAAACTCCCCAGTAAACGAGAATGAATTGACATGGATTGAAATGGATTCAAATTTTCAGGAATACGCTTTTGAGAACGTTAAAATCCTTTTTGATCGCAATGCATTTTTATTCATTTATAAACATTGCATATGAATAAAGGGGTGGCACCCAGTTGGACACGGCTCAATTGGACAGGAGCCACTCACAGCGCTTGAGACTACAAAGCTCCGAGATGGTTGCTTTTGCCTACAAATCGATTGCCTACAATACCTTTTGCCTACATCACTTTTGCCTACAGTTCGATTGCCTACATGTATTATTGTCTACAGCTCGATTGCC